AATTTTAATAATATATTTTCTGTTACTTGATTTATGCAAAATATTATCATTTCAACATGCAATCAGTATAAAAGGTATTAAGGAGATGTTTGACATCCTGTTTTATATTTTGTCTTCGAAGTTTGGTGTGGATAGTGTACTTACCACATCTCAATTCAGAGCACACACATTTCAAGTGCTCAGGAGCCACAGGTAGCTGGTGGGTACCATTGTGGACAGTGTGGGTCTAGGTGGTGGTGATGAGAATGCAAATGTTGCATGATTTCTATGGGACATTTTTTTTGAGGAATACAAACAAACTGAAGTATATTTTATCATTATATATATATATATATATATAACCATTTGTTAACTTGACGTATGGAATATAACCAACTTAAGAATTATTTTGATAACATTATGTTATTATTATCCACTCTACTGAGATAATTTTAAAGTCATACTTCATGTGCAGTATTCTTTGCAGTCACCCCCAAATTTGATATGCTCGTCTTGGGCATCTTTTTTTTTTTTCTTCAAGATTTTATTGATTTATTTGAGAGAGAGAATGAGATAGAGAGAGCATGAGAGGGGGGAGGGTCAGAGGGAGAAGCAGACTCCCCTCTGAGCAGGGAGCCCGATGCGGGACTCGATCCCATGACTCCAGGATCATGACCTGAGCCGAAGGCAGTTGCTTAACCAGCTGAGCCACCCAGGCACCCTCGCCTTGGGCATCTTGATGTAAGTTTGTAAAGACAAAGCTACAAAGTACCCATAGTTATAATGTTTTTATTATGATTGTCCAGCCAGGTTTGATTATATCCAATTAGGTTCTTATCTACCCCAATAGAGTTTGTCCATAAAAGTGTCACATGAGTCTTAGTCATATGCTCTGTAAGAGTGCAAAAGTGCCATGCTGGCCACACTTATCTAATAGAGGTTAGTCTGGCATGCATTTCCTGGTGAATCTGTACCAACTTCAGCTTCCAGAGATCCCTGCTTCATTTTCTGTGTGTCCTTATGTCAGTCTTTTAATATTCCAGTCTATGTGCTTACTCTGACTTGTGGAGGGAGTCTTTTCTTACATTCTGCGAGTTGGAAGTTCCTGACTTTGGAGTAGAAGAGAAGATGGGAAAGCGAACATCCCCCTGCCATGTAGGTGGTAGCAAAGCTGGATTTGATTTATCAGACCTGAACTTAGTATTCTAGAAGAGTACAAGCAAGAAGGAGCTTGCATTTCGTGAAGGATCCCATGACAAGAAATTGGCCCGTGTACTTTCAAGATTGCCAAAGAAGAGTGGATGGAGGACAAGGTCTCGGTAAAGGTGCACCAAGAAGAAGCAAGGCTGTCCTACTGTGTTTGACTTGGACTCCCCCTCTGCTCTGTGCTGTTCTCTAGTCCGTCTCAGGGGTAAGTGGTCCGTGGCTCCATAGAGCTGCTGGCCACTGCTCAGAACAGACCATCAGGCATCTCCAGTGACCACTCCACTCTCGCAAGCTGGTATTTTAACATGAAGTTACTATGGCTTTAGAGATGCACCCAGTCTTGCTGGAATAGCACTGTCATCCAGAATTAGGAACGAGAGCATAGGTCTTCCACAAAAGGAACTGACTTGAGAGTATGCTATTGCTTGCTCAGCTAGAACAAGATGTAAAAGCTCCCTCTTCAAGCAGACAGCTCTTGAGGAGTCCCAGACCCAGGAGAACTCTTCGTCATTGTCCAGGCCATTCATTAGGGCAGGCTTTTACAACAGAATCCTCACATCACCATTTCACTCTGGAACACCAATCAGGTTATTTGTCTTTATCAGACATTCCATACTCTCCTTTATTACCCGTCTTGTACTGGTTTTATTTCTGTTCCATGCAAGACTTTGAGGACACAGATTGTGAATAGAGCACAGATACTGTGAATCACACACATTATCTTAAACCTGGGTCTGTCAGTTCCCACATAGTGATACCATGCTGCTCTCAGGTCTTCCTCCATAAAATGAATCAATGCAGCCTACTTCCTGGGGTTATAGTGAGCCTTAAAAATGACATATGCTGAGTGCTTGGTACGTAATGGGCATTCAGTAAATGCCAGTTTGGTATTGAAACTATGGATGTGGCTTGGACAAGGACTTTTTATCTGGTTCAGCTGGTTATTATACACACACACACACACACACACACAAGAAAGAACACTTCACAATGTGATAGTTGGCTAAAACAGGTGTTAATAGACTGGGGTTGGGGCCTTGGAAATGGACAAGGTAGAAATGAGGGCACAGACTGGGCCATCTTCAGCAAATACCTGAAATGAATCTTAACACACGGGAGGATTCTGATGGGCAGCCTTTAATCTGAGATGTTTTCAACCTTCTCTCTCTCTCTCTTTGTCATTTTTTAACAGCTTTATTGAGGTATAATTCACATATGATACAATTCACCAGTTAAAGTGTACAGTTCAGTGGTTATTAGAATAGTCATAGATAGGTGCAACCATTATCACAATCTTCGTACATTTTCATCACCTCTGAAAGAAGACCTCATATCTTTTAGCTGTCACCCTCCACCCCCACCAGCCATAAGCAGCTGCTAATCTACTTTCTGTCTTTATAGATTTCCTTGTTCTGGAAATACCGTGTGAATGGAATCATATAATATGTGGTCTTTTGTAACTGGCTTCTTTCACTTAGCATAGTTTTCAAGGTTCACCCATGTGGTAGCAGGTATCAGTTCATCATTCCTTTTTATGGCCAAATAATTTCATTGTATAGATGAACTACATTTTGTTTATCCATTTGTCAGTTGGTGGACATTTGGGTTGTCTTCATCCTTATTGTCTTTATGAATAATGCTGCTGTAATCATTTGTGTACACGTTTTTGTGTGGACGTATTTTTTATTTCTGTTGGATATCTACCTTGGGGTGGAACTGCTGGATTGTAGCCTTCTTCTGTGCTCCTACTCCTGGGATGGTAAAGAGTTAGTGATTCTAATCTTATCTCCCTAAAATACTTTGTGTGATAAGCCTGAATCTTCCGGATGTTTGTATACTCCATTAATCATCAATGAGCAATTACTGCATATCAAGTACTGTTCCAGGTACTGGGCAGCTTTGGTGGGCACTTTGGGTTCCAGACTCTTCAGGATCTAGACAGAACCTGAGAGTAGGGTAACTACTTTTTTCTGCAGCAGACATAATTGTAGACTACATTATGCAGGAAAGCAAAAATAGCACTTAACCTGCATCTTTCTTAGTTATCTAAATAAGCTATCATCATTTCTTAGCTCCTCTTATAAACACTGTCTATAACCTTGCATAGAAGCTTTTTCTGTTCACTGCTCATATTTGTATTCATTAATGTGTGCTCATCCATTCATTCAATACAAATTTATTAAACACCTACACTCTTGTCAATCACTGTACTAGACTTAATTGATATAAAGATATTTAAGACATGCACTTCTTGTTGGAGGGAAATATACATAAATAGGTTGTTATCATACAATATGATATTGATGAGATGTTCGTAACCCATTTTGGGGTTACTGCAGAAAGCTTCCTAAAAGGTAGAGGTGTAGAACATGGATATAGAGGTAGGTTGGGGAACTTTCCAGGAAGAGGGTATGGTGTAAACAGACTCAGAAGAAAGAAATACCATGGTACAAGTGGTTTAGTATTGCTGGATTATATGTGCTTCTGGGATAAGCAGTCTTCAGAGGGAAAATATAATTGCTTAATATGTAGCCTGCCAGGAGGAATTAATCATTAAGAGAAGAAAAATTATGCAATGATTTACACACAAAATAGCTGTGTGACATCAGACAAGCCATTAACCTCTCTGTGCCTCATTTGTTATCAAATGTTGAGTGGGAAATAGACTTTTTCTAAAGTGACACATGAATTGCTAAAAAAAAAAAAAACCTAAGAACTTTCTAATATTGTCCCAAATATAGCCAAGGCTTGGCCAGATAAAACTATATAAAATGGAGAATATATGTCATAAATTTGATTCCAGATTAGACAGATTGAAGTAGAGGACTCTGAAATAAGGAAGTGGATGAATTTCAAACCTGGCGTGGTGCCCTGGTGCTGCTGATGGCCTACAGAAGAAAATTTCCAAACCCCAGTTTCAAGTCTGCACTTACCCTTCCCCAGCTCCACCCTTTGTGATTCATGAAGAGGGCACACCTTTTATCTGACCTCAAAACCTCCCCTAAGTGTTGTTTTGAAACACTTGATGCCTCTCTGCAGATTGTGGATTGTGGATTATGAGCCTATGTGGCTATCCCATAGGACTCATGTACTCATTTCTTCATAGGTAAAGTGGTGGCTATGTTCTCCTGTAAAATGTGGATATTTCCATGTCTTTAGGATCATATAGGAGGCTCTGTAGGCTCTTATTCTTAGATGTATGCTAGCATTGGTCAGTAGTTCCCCTCTCCCTTTTTGAAAGCTATACGGCTTTATTTTTTACCTTCATTTACTGCCTGTAGCTCAGGGCAGCTGTACACAAGCAAAGAAAATAGAAAGAGCCACAGCAGCCCTTTAAGTTTGGCATGTGCCTCCTTCCAGAGCCTTTGCTCTCATCCATCACCCCATATTGACAAAGCTACAAGGAAGACCAGGGGGTAGCCTTGATGCCCAAACCTAACTGTCCCCAAATGATGGGCTCAGTCCTAAATGCACCCAACAAGCACAAGAGGGAAAGATTTCTGATTCTCCCATCCACTCAATCCACCTGAGAGGTTGTCTTCCTTCTTTAATAGTTATCCCCATGAAAGAAGAATGAGCAATCTATGACATGGAAACATGAACAGGGAAGGATGCATGATGTAACCTGCAAGACACTAAATGTAAAGGGCATAGAAAGAACAAATGAAGGCACACTCTGACATTCGAGAACAGGTTTAAATGAAGTAACAAAAGACTGTGTTCTCCAGTTGCTCTAGGATCATCTATCAGTAACCCCTCCTTTACTGTGCTTCTTCGGAAGAGCCACTGCTTAAGTGGGCCCTTTGTCGTTACAGGAGGGAGACCTTACCCTGGCGAAAGCGAAGCTCTCATCAGTGCTGATGAAGCTGCTGTTCACTTACGAGTCACAGAAATTTCCTAAATGACCCCCATTTGTGACCTCAAAATTTGGAAGTTGCGTAACCTCCTGGAATTTGCATAGTGGCCATCATTCGTGGAATGCTATTTCCAGAACTGAATTCCCAGGATGAGGCTGTGTTTGGAATTTAAGGTTTTCTTACAGGCACCACTTAAGCATTTTATTTTCATCTGCTTCATAGCTCTTTAGTTGTCCAGTGGTGGGTTACCAAATAGCTGCAGTTTTGTTGTTTCACATAAAACGTTTACATATGGAAAACATGATTTGTAGGTATATTACTAAGACAATAAAAGTAGACCATCAGTCCGTAGGAAGTTCTGTTTTTGTTTTGTAAAATTATGTATCGGAAAAGAAACCCTCTGGGCAGCCTCTGTACCCTCCTCCCTGCTGCTGTGTTAGCTGCTGATGGCTACTGCTGCCCAACTAGCTCCTTTGTGTCAAGGTGGGATCATTTTTGCAGTGTTACTCTTGTTGGAAAACTCCCTGTAGGACCAGGCTGAGCCTAGACTTCAGCAGTAACCACATCCTTGCTTTGCTTCATTCCCACCCTGTCCTGCTTCCTTCACATCAGTACAAGTTCCTTCTGAAACATACTCCCTCAGTAAATCACTTGTGTAAGGATCTTTATCTCAGGCCCACCTCAAGAGACCGTACATGATTAGCACCAAATGAGGGTAGATACAGAAAAATGTTAAAATAAAGCAATATTTTGGAAAAAGGTCCTTTGCAAAGTAACAAAGGATATCCATTTAAATATATAAAAATATGCATAGATACTTGGAAATTTTGACGTATAGTGACAGAGTAATGGGAATATTGTATACAATTCTTGACATTCAAGTAATAGAAGCATAGAAAGTCAAAAGTTGGGCATAGATGACTCCCATCAAGAACAAATGTGTACATCCATGAACTTACATTTAATGATCATGACCCTGTCAGCTACATCTTGTTTGACATTTACGGAAAGATGTGTGGTAATGGATTGGTGAATTCATTAGCATTATGAATCATGTAAAAACAGAATCTTTAACATATTTTATTAAGTGTTGACTAAAAACTGTCAGTTTGGAGAGGACAAAGATTACAAATGTTTTAAATTAGGTTCTCTAAGGGCAGTGAAATTGAAACAATCAAATTTTACCCTAAATGATCAAAGGATGGAATGCAGATCTCTCTGTCATATTGTCATATCTCTGGACTCCGTCTGTCCAGAGGAGTTTATGTAAGTCCAGAAAAGCACAAAACTCAGGAATGAGCGGAAGGGGAAATGCCAAATGCTGAGTCAGACACTGGATGAGAAGTTCTGTTCTGATTTTTCAAAAGAAAAAGACAACAGGTTTGAGATTGAGGCTCATTCATTTATTGATTCAACTCATATTTAAAGAGCACCTCTTCTGTTCTGGGGGTCCCATGCTTGTTGCTATGGTTACAGACATGAAAAGGCAGAAATGAGCTCCTAAGCCAAATTTGCTGTTGTAATCATTCCTGGTCTGACTTCCCTGCTTTTTGCAAATGATTTCTGGAGTTTATAAGCTCTGTCTACCTTTGTGTGGTTTCCTAGGGCTTTCAAATATTTAGCAATGTCTAAACTTTTGTCAATTGCCTTAAACTCTTCAGTTAATTCATATTCCAGAATTGTCACAGGGAAAAAATGGATCTATTCCCTTTATCCCTCCCCTTAAGAGCTCTACAGTAATAGATAATTTAATGTATGAGCATTCATCATTAAATATTCTGTATCTTAATTATTTTTCCATGAAAAAATGAAAATTCTACTTAAATCTCTTGGAGTCTGATGCTAAATGTTGGCATCCAAGTTGTAAAGTTCTTCAAGACTTTTGGACACAAGAAATCCCATATTTGAGAGATTAGTCCATCTTGTGTCATTAGATTTTAGTGTCTTGATTGATTTATTCTGTTCAGTCCCTAACCCATCTGTATTACGACGACTGATATTTGTGAATATCTTTCATGACATCTGATTTGTCATAACTTTGAGAATTTTATCTTCGTAAATTCAGTATATTAATAGTGTATGTAGTTTTGCTGAGTATAGAAGTTAGGATTCAGATAAGTAACTAGAAGTTAACCTTCTAGAAACAGGAGTTTGGTCTGGTGTGCTAATATAGCTTGTGACATTCTGAAGAATATTTTGACTAAATTTTGAGATAAATTGATAGGAATAAATTTCTCAAGTACTTTAAAGAAAATTATTTATGATGGTTCTTTCATCTGTTAATGGAAGAGGGTTATTTTTCTCTTAATGATGTAAGGATTTCGTATCTTAATTTTTAAATAGAAGTATGTAAATGAAATTTGGACTTGGGGAACCACTTTGAATTTCCATAAGAGTCTTCCTTTTTATAAAACCACACTGTCTGAGAAGAAGTCTCACACTGTTGTGCCTTAATTTAGCATGTAAACAAATTCTTTATATAAATTAACTTCGTCACTAGACTGTTTCCAGTGTGTTTGTGCCTGTGTCAACGCTCTTGAGATTTATGGATTGTTGGACTTTTAAAAATCCATTTGGATCAAGAGCGTTCTCTATGGAAGAGTAGATACCTACCTAATTGAAAAGAAAAGCACTATTTTATCTGTTACCAAGAATTCTTCATTTTCATCATTCAGTCTCTGAGAAAGTTAACTAATGAGGAATAGATTATATTACTTAGCAACCTTCTATTCATTTTACCACATTGTTGAAAGCAGGTGTTCTGCAAATAATTCACATAATGAAACAATGGACATAAATTATATACCTTAAGAAACATTAAAAATTCAAATAGTTATAACCCCATTCATAGCTCATTTGTTAATTTCTAAGAAAATTAATTTTGAAGTAAATTATTAATTTCTTTTTTTTAAAGATTTCATTTATTTATTTGTCAGAGGGAGAGAGAGAGAGAGCACAAGCAGGGGGAGCGGCAGGCAGAGGGCAAAGCAGGCTCCCTGCTGAGCAAGGAGCCCCATGCGGGACCTGATCCCAGGATCCTGGGATCATCACTTGAGTCGAAGACACTTAACCAGCAAAGCCACCTAGGCATCCCAAATTATTAACTTCTAAGAAAAACCTTAATAAACAAAATAATTTAAGAGTATTTTGAAGTAGCAAAAATATGTTACATTTTATAGATTCTATTCACTGCTTCCACAGTACATACATTTTTACTGTATTAACTGATTCGTTGGTATCCTCTAAATACCTTGAATTTTTAATATGACTGGTATTATTGGGGTTGGTCCTCAGGTGTGCATATCAGAAGACAAACACAGAAATGGCCAAAAATTAGCAGGCTTTTATCACTCCCCGCAAAAAATACATTTTCTTAGCAGGTGCAAAATTGGAACTCTAAATTGAAACAACACTAAAATAACACATTTGCTTATAGTGGATAATTTCTGCACTTTTTTTTTTGAGAGAGAGGTCAAGAGCACACAAGTGGGTGGGGGAGGGGCAGAGGGAGAAGGAGAGAGAGAAGCTTAAGCAGGCTCCATGCTGAGCGTGGAGCCTGATGCAGGGCTCCATCTCACAACCCTGAGATCGTGACCTGAGTCAAAACCAAGAGTCAGACGCTTAACCAACTGAGCCACCCAGGAGCTCCAGTTTCTGCACTATTTTGTAAAAAGTTTCTGCACTATTTTGTAAAGAGTTTCTGCAAGTTTAAGACAAGATATCGATAATTTTATTAATATCAGAATTTGATAGTCTGAGGCCCTCTGATAAACAAACAAACAAAAAAAACCCCACTGGCAAAACAAAAAAAACTACATGAGGTACTGTGAGAAAATGAAAAAGAAGTTAAAGTTGGTCATTTGCAATTTAATTAAGACAATATCTTGAACGCAAATGAAGAAGATATAAGACAAGTTCAGAGGAACATTAGAAATTTGTCTTTCTTGGTTCTTTAATTTTATAGAAGTTGAAATTGAAACATACTAGGTTAGTGACTTGTCCAAAGTCATGGCTAAATTGTGGCAGAACCGGCTCCTGACTTATCTATTCCCCCTTTCATTGCGTGTCACTGCCTCCCATGATACAAAGACATGGACACATGCCAGTTAATTATAATTGCTTAAGAAAAATCAGTTGAAAAATGATGAACTGTAATCACATATGGGCCGAAATAACATTAGTGTATTCAAGACTATTTGGGAGAGGAAACTCCATTCTGGAACATCCATCTCGGACTTGCTGGCATAACAATCTGCGACTTTATTTTTAACAGTTATCAATCACTAGTATAATAAGGCAAACGCTACCGTGAAATTTAATTATAGGATCAAATTTTTAAAAATTATATATGTTTAAATCTTGTACAAAGGAAAGGGGTTGCGTTTTTTTCAGCCCCAAAATTCTCTCCTTCTTCCTTTTGATTTGATGTTGAGACTAGCTCGTTTCATAGTCAAGTCTGTATGAAAATAACCCAGAGAGGGAAAAACAAGGACTTTAACAGATCTCATGTGGCAATAGTGTGAAGCTAAATATCACTGTGTTCTATTGAATGATTTTTAACTTCTTTTTAGGTGTGGGTTGGGGAATAGGTAATAACTGAGTAAAATTTAATTGGTTTAATTCATCCTCATTCTCTTTACTATTTAAATCATACAGTCAATGAATCTATTCTTGATTTGTTTTAATCAGCTTGTTTTAATCTAAACTTAGGATAAGACTTAGAAAAAGAACATCAGTTAAGGTGTGGTCTTTTGCAGGTTATACATAAATTATGTGGGAAACCAATTATTTTATGTATTTCATACCCTCATTAATATATACCAAATATTTATAACAACTCATTAGGCTTTAAACTTTTTTCGAGGGCGCCTGGGTGGCTCAGATGGTTAAGCGTCTGCCTTCGGCTCAGGTCATGATCCTAGGGTCCTGGGATCGAGTCCCGCATCGGGCTCCCTGCTCTGCGGGGAGCCTGCTTCTCCCTCTCCCACTCCCCCTGCTTGTGTTCCCTCTCTCGCTGTGTCTCTCTCTGTCAAATAAATAAATAAAATCTTTAAAAAAAAAAATAATGTCCTTCATAGTAGAAAGATCCAGTTTAGAATAATGCACTGCATTTTACTGTCCTGTCTCTTTAGCCTCTGCAGGTTTAGGAAAGTCTTCAGTCTTTCCTTGAATCTCGTAAACTGGGCACTTTTACGTATGGACCAATTATTTTGTGGAATGTCCTTCAATTTGGATATGTCTAATTTTACCTTGTGATAAAATGAATGCAGCTTTGGCAGGAATATCACACACATGATGCTGCCGTCTTCTGATTTCAGCTCGTCTGAGGTGCAGGATTTTGACCTGTGCGATTACCGATGATGAGCACTTTGATAACTAGGTTAAAGTGGTATCTGCCAGGTTTCTTCACAGTGCAGTTACCCTTTCTTCCTTTGTAAATGAGAAGTATTCATGGTGAGGTACTTTATTTTATTTTATTTTTTAGATTTTTGTATTTATTTTAGAGAGAGAGTGCACACGAGCGGGGGGAGGGGCAGAGAGAGAGAGAAAAGCAGACTCCCCACTGAGTGCAGAGTCTGCACAGGGCTCCGTCTCACAACCTTGAGATCATGTCCTGAACCAAATCCAAGAGTTGGACGCTTAACCGACTGAACCCCCCAGGTGCCCCTTAAGGTCCTTTAAGACAATGAAAACACCTCATTCCTCTTCAAATTTCAAGTTATTCACTTATTTGTTTATGTATTTATAGACTCATGGTCTACTATTTTATTTAATGGACTAAAATCCATTACTATCTTTATATATTTTGATGCTAAAATTGTTGTGGGAGCCACTTTGATTGTCTTTATATTCTTTTGCTCCATTATTCTTTGAGCGTTTCTTTACTTTCCAGCACAATAAAACATTCTCATCTCAAACTTTCCCTGCATCATCCTTGTATTGGTCATTATTCTAAGGAATCTTGTTCCTTCTAGTAAGAAGAGTATTTAGAAGCCAAGATTTGGATGCTCATTGTTATTGGGGTGTCACTTCCAGACACTCAGAGGGCAAAACTAAGGAATATATAATAATAAATACACATGCACATATATATTTATTGCTTACTTGATCTAGACAGTTTGAAATCCATACATTCATACCCGTACCTTTGCTTTCAATCCATCACCATTGAGTTCTATTTTTTTTCCATTTCTATATTTGTATCTCCTCTAACAGTGAGGAACCCAGCTCCAATTATATGGAATATGTTTACTTATTTGATCACACCCCTGTATGTAGCCAAGCTTCCATCATCCATGCTACTCTCTGCCCAGCAGCATGCTCTCCTCACTCTTCTAGGCTGTGACCCACCACCCTGGATAGCTTTCCTACACAGCTGTAGGAAGGAAACTTCCTTCAGTTCCTGGCACCCTGAGCTAGGCCATTCAGCTCCCCACACCCACACCCTGCTGGCCTATTTGCCTACTTTGCTGTGCCCTACTTACTGGGTTCGTGATCAAATTGTTCAGGAAGGGAAAAGGAACCACCACTCATTAGGTTTTAAAATTAAGTGCCAAACTTTTAAAATATTTAAATAACTTAATGTATTATTATTTTAATTTAGTATATTGTTAAAAGAGAGCAATGGGGTGAATTTCTGGAAAAGTGAGGTTTTTTTTTTGTTTTTGTTTTCATTTTTTTTTTTGCTATTGGTTTATAAAAACAATGCTGGATGAAGAATAAGTTTTTCTTGCAAGTTACTTGCAACACCATGGAAAAGAAAGCCTTGATCAATGGCTTAAAGGTGGTGGAGGTGAGCAACCAATACAATTTCAGCCAAAGTTTTAGGGCCAGTTTTCCCTCCTTCAGTCTTTTTGGTCATGATGCCTTTTTCATTATTTTGCTGCTGCTTCATTTTTTATGAGAGATAAGGATTTGCTTCCTCAAAATATAATTGCTAGTAAGACAGGAGCATAGCGAAGTTATCATCACATAGAAGCCAGTCATGGTGGAACTCCAGAGGGAACCGCAGGGGGCATTTGTCTAGGACTCCAGCATTAACACCCTATCAGATCATGTTATTGATCAATAGTCACTTCCCTTCTGAGCTTCAGCATGCCTCTTAAGATTTGCGCTAGCCTATTGGCTAAATGCAGAATGCCATTAATGTAATAAAGCTGAACAGGTCCCACCCAATTGTTATAGTCTATCTTGTCAAATTCTACTTTAGAGAGATTTTTGACTTGATGGATCATTGATTTGATAAATCAAAATGAGTCCCTTAAAGCTCTCATATTTTACCAGCTTGCTGCAATTGCCTTGCATGCTCAATGAAACCATCTTTCCTGGAGTCTGGAGGTGATCAGTGACTCTTCTTGATGAATTGGTATGGCTACTCGTTTCTGTTCACCATGAAGGAGAGACCACTTTTTGATTTTTTATTGAATACCCCTGCTAAAAACTGCTTCTATTTCACTCTGTGGAATGCTTGAGGTAATTTTTAAGACATTCTTTAAGGAAATGTTAATCCTTAAAGGATGAAATGCATGATATTTGTCTTCCTCTGACTGACTTATTTCGCTTAGCATAATACTCTCTAGCTCCATCCATGTTGTTACAAATGGCAAGATTTCATTCTTTCTGATGGCTGAATAATATTCCATTGTGTATATATACCACATCTTCTTTATTCATTCATCAATCTATGGATATCTGGGCTCTTTCCATAATTTGGCTATTGTTGATGGTGCTGCTATAAACATCGGGGTGCATGTGTCCCTTAGAATCAGTATTTTTGTATCCTTGGGTAGATCTCTAGTAGTGCCAATGGCTGGGCCATAGGGTAGTTCTGCATTTAACTTTTTAACTTTTTTTTTTTTTTTTAAGATTTTGTTTAGGGCGCCTGGGTGGCTCAGTCGGTTGAGCGACTGCCTTCGGCTCAGGTCATGATCCTGGAGTCCTGGGATCAAGTCCTGCATCGGGCTCCCTGCTCAGCAGGGAGTCTGCTTCTCCCTCTGACCCTCCTCCCTCTCATGCTCTCTGTCTCTCATTCTCTCTCTCAAATAAATAAATAAAATCTTTAAAAAAAAAGATTTTATTTATTTGACAGAGAGAGATACACAGCAAGAGAGAGAACACAAGCAGGGGGAGTGGGAGAGGGAGAAGCAGGCTTCCCGCAGACCAGGGAGCCTGATGCGGGGCTTGATCCCAGGACTCTGGGATCATGACCTGAGCCAAAGGCAGACGCTTAACGACTGAGCCACCCAGGCGCCACCAACTTTTTAATTTTTTGAGAAACCTTCATACTGTTTTCCAAAGTGGCTGCACCAGTTTGCATTCCCACCATTGGAATAAGAGGGTTCCCCTTTCTCTGCATCCTCACTGACACCTGTTGTTTCCTGTGTTGTTAATTTTAGCCATTCTGACCTGTGTGAGCTGGTATCTCACTGGAGTTTTGATTTGCATTTCCCTGATGATGAGTGATGTTGAGCATCTTTTCATGTGTCTATTGGCCATCAGGAGGTCTTCTGTGGAAAAATGGGGAGACCTAGATTTGAAGATGGACATAGTTACTCACTAGCAGTGTGGCCTCAGTTTCCTCATTAAAATGGGGTATTATCATTATCTAACAAAGTTTTTTTCTGAGCTTCAGTTAAAAAAAAAATACAGTCAAAGTCATTTTAATACTTGAAACTGTTGTGCAAATGTAGGGCACTATTAGTATTTTGTAAAAAAAAAAATCATTTGTTTAAAGGTAAACTTCATTAAGAAAAAAATCAAATGAAAGTGAAGCAATAACAAATAAAATTATTTTAAGAACTGTTGACAGAATTTTGGTTTCACAAATGTAAATTTATTTTTGGATTTAATGAATACAAATATATTTACTCTTTTCATGTTTAGGTAGTTATTGTAAATTCCAAAAAGTTTCAAAAGTATTAATTCAAAAAGTCTTTGCCTTATTTTAAAAGCAAGTTTAACTTCAAGGACATATGCCTATTCATTCCCCAAATCATCTCTAAGCAGTAAGTCTTAAGAGTCTATTAATGTAGGGCACCTGGGTGGCTCAGTTGGTTAAGTGTTGAACTCTTGATTTCGGCTCAGGTCATGATCTCAGGGTTGTGAATTGAACCCTACATGGGACTCTACTCTAGACATGGAGGCTGCTTGAGATTCTCTGTCTCCCTCTGCCCCTCCCCCCCATCCCCTCTCAAAAAAAGAAAAGGAGTGTCAATGTAAGGAGAGGTGTTAATACTTACTCAAAATGAATTGAACAGCTGATTCTGAGTCAGTTATGGGAGGTTACACAATAAACGTAATAAACAAGAGTTAGGGTTGTTATGCAGATTTAAATTCCATGCCTTCTTTATTGATAACAGTTTCTAGAGATTTAGAGTCATCCTCTTTTTTCCTGGTACAATGAGGGAGATACCCCTACAAGTAGATTTCCCTTATAAACATAAATGTCTCTCAGAAAAGGATAACTTCTTTTGGTTTTCAGAGCTTCTCTTAAGTTTTTTAAAAATAGCCAGCCTACTATAATCCTTATGCCAAAGAGGCATATTTTGGGGTGATACATTCTGCTTCCCTACACTGGTCGCTTGCACAGAATTGTCCTTCATAGCCGTGTTGAAACCCGGTGGGCCGAGGGATGTGTCCAAGGCACTATGAATGCCTGCTAGAAGAGAAAACAGATACTGTAACAGAAATCATTATCTAGTTATTTATAATAGAGGTGAGGCAATGTCATAGTTGTAGACTCATGAGGCTACATGGAAAAGGAGCATCAAAGGCATTTTTCTAGAATTCATCAGAAGAGAGAATACTGTGACTCTCGTGATTGATGTTGAGTATCTACATTGATATATTTCTATAATGGCTGAAGTCTAACAAGCTATTCTAGTTTGAAAGAAGAGGTTTTCAAAAACCCAATGTCATATGTTCTGATACTAAATTCATTAAGTCATGTCTGATCTGTAATTTGCTATTCCAGATGGACCTACCTTCAGGAAAGGAGTGTGTAAATGGCCAGTTTTCAGATAAAGCTACCAATATGTGATATTGGTATCACAGCATATTAGAGCTTTGGTTGGAGGCAGTCTCTTGGAGGCTTATTATCATGTTTCAAATTCTTATCATCCCAGAGAAAACCAAACAGTTGTAAATTGAAGGGTCACTAGAGTAATCAGTATTTCACTCAATCTGAGATTTTTGAATGACCATCAACACTCATCTAATCTGTCCCTTATTTCATTTTATTTTAAGATTTTTTTATTTATTTGACAGAGAGAGACACAGCAAGAGAGGGAACACAAGCAGGGGGAGTGGGAGAGGGAGAAGCAGGCTTCCTGCCGAGCAGGGAGCCCGATGCGGGGCTCGATCCCAGGACCCTGGGACCACGACCTGAGCCGAAGGCAGACGCTTAATGACTGAGCCACCTGGGCGCCCCTCTGTGCCTTATTTTATAGAGCTTCATGAGACTGTGATAATGTACTTAGTATCAAATAGTTTGTGAGTGGACAGGCTGGGACTAGAACCTATCCTTCTGGAATTCAATTCCATATTTTGCAACAGCGTAGTAGATAACATGTACTTGTCAATTTGCATAATCAATGTTTCTTTCACTTTTGTGCTATTGCAGGGTCATTGTTTAAGTATGCGGTAGTACACTTCCTGACCTTTAGAATTTTAAATCCCTGGGTTTAGTGAAATCCCCCAGATACCTTTAAAGACTTGTAGAAAGGCCTATGAATGCAGGTATTTATAATATTTTGAATGCCAGAAGCCAAAACTGCAGAAGTAAATAACAAGAGTTTTAAAAGAATGCCTTGACAACTGGCTGAATAAATCAACTAAAGTTGAAATGTTCATTTTACTTGTCTGTGGAATTTTTTGTCCTCCAAGTAAGGGACTGACTCCTTAAGGGGAGAGAGGCTAACAGGTAAGGGCATACACCTCTTGCCACCTCTGGAGACAGAATGTGCTGCATA